GATACCTACCTATTTATTGTAACATAATTTATTTACATAAGAATACTAGCGACTCAAGTCCTACTTACGTTTTAACGTTTAGTATGAATTTCTCAAAGATGAGATATTTACCCGCAGTAAAAAGTATCCTTTATCTTGACCCGGATAACCGGCTATCGTCATACCAAATTTCATCAAAATCTGTCCAGTAGATTTCTCTTGATGCGGTAACAGACTGACAAAAAATCTAAAAATTACAGATCCGGCCTCTGCATCGATAATATTGTTTATTTCAATAAAATTTTCCTAAAAACATTTAATGTACAGATTCGACTTAGTTATACGAGTAATTTAATTATATGTATAGGTTTATTGAACATCACAGAATTGTAAAGAAACAATAAGAATATATAAAAAAAGAGTCAAATTTGAACGATGAAATCAGTGATTTCTTCCACGGAATTCTGACCATCCAACCCTTGTACTGACCGGAACTTGACCTGGACCGGAACTAGCCCCAATTTCCTGGATCCTATAACCAGGGTATTAGGTTCGTTTCATTATTAGTGATGCATCTACCATGCAAAAGATAAAGTACACACACAACGTAATAGTAGCTTACTTCGTACACTTACACACATATTATAAGGTATTAATTAAGCAGTAACTGTAAGCAACTATATCAAAAGCTGTTAAAGTATTCAGACCACAACACGAACACGACTGCCGATCAAACCCACAGAAGCCCGTCGACCACAAGCTTTGTTGACGTGACATGACAAGCTTTACAAACTTTTAAACTGTTTGCCTTTGATAGTTGTGATTACTTAAAAAATAAAGCAGGAACAGTATACTCCATGAGTCCATATACATATTTATATCATGTACTAGCATTTCCCGCGGCCCCGCTCGCGTTCAGATGACCAAAAACCAAATTCTTAGGTTTTACATATTAGTATACTCTTACATTTGTATTTTGTATTTTTTTTTCACAAAAATGAGATATTTTCCGCGGTAAAAAGTATCCTATTATTATCCCGGATAACCAGCTATCACTATACCATCAAAATCCCTTCAATGGTTTTTCTGTTATGCGGTAACAGACAGACAGACAAAAATTCTAAGAACTATAGATTCGGCCTCTGTATCGATAATAATGTTTATTTCAATAAGATTTTCCAAAAAATATCTAATGTACAGATTCGGCTTAGTTACAATTTTATTATATGTATAGATTTCTACTACATTTTAAAGTTAAAAACATTTTTAAACTATCTACAACACGTGGCGCACGCCTTAACAATAATGAATACTTTTCCCTATCGTGTTTCCGTGAACGTTTTCTTTCTTTTTTTTTCAGTTCTATGAATTCTTTACGATGGCGTGAAAGAAATATAGCCTTAATCAATTAACTTAAAATTAAAGAATACCTACGTTACATTATCTAATTTTAGTTCTACCCACTTATTACAATGGATCAAATAAAAATATGTAGAATTCGCATTAAACGAGCTTAAGAGGTTAAAACAAATACAATATTGTATTTTTTACCAATTTTGAAACTATAGCGTACTTATTACTAAAACTTAATTTCTTATTCCCTCAACGACCGCGGACACGCCGGCGTTACAGTTAACAATAGATTTCTTAAAAATTTAATTAATTTCTTAGAAATTTACCTGGAGGTGTTAAAAGGTTTTTATTACCACTGCTTAGTATTTTTCACATATAATTTTAAGTATATCGAGGAGAGTGATGACATTTCTACATATTGTCAGATATTCACGTACGTGTACACACACACGTGACTAACTTTTGAAATATAAATTGCTTCCAGGTTTGCAAAAAGCAATAGACTTTTGTGACTTTAACTTTCAAGTTACCCTGAAAAATAAAAAGATTTTACCGCGTCTGTATACCCTTAAATACACTTCAAACAACGAACATTTTTAAACGAAATTCCGCCTTTGATGCACAGAAGTTCAAGAATATAAGGACTAATAATAAACAAGACGGTGCTTAGAAAAACGATACAAAGATTTATACTGTTTAAATTATAGAGAAAATTTTCTTTTTATGTGAAGTAAGTCTAAAATAGGATTACCTTCTTAGAATTTTTCCATTACCGTCAAGTGAAACATTGATTTTCAGTTGAATTACTTTATAATTTATATTATTATATATAGATTTTGCTGTAACGATATCTTTTATTAGTAACACGTTTTCTATTCATTAACAAATAGTCTTTAATTCACATAAAATTATGTTTAAAATATTATTTTTCTAAAAGCAGGAAACGGTATTGCATTATATAATATATTAAGATCTACACTCTATTGAAACTCTACACTTACCGAAGAAAATCTTAGCTATGGAAGCACGTCGAGACCTATTGCAAATCCTTTAACATATTAAATTATAAAGAAAATATTAAAAGCGGTCAAAAGCATCTGGTGAAGCGAATTTTATTGTACATTTTTGACGTGATCTCTGCTTCTCTCACACCATTGGTCTGGAAAAATCCCGACGACACCACTTATTTTGTGTTTACGGTACTTAACTAATTTTTGCGACATTATAGTATTAAATTGTTTTAAATCAACAAAAAAGAAACAATAATACAATATGAAATATATTAGTATAATAAATGAAATAAATTTATATAATATAAAATGTAAACCTATAAAATCGGGACCCTATTAGCTAACATTTCCTACCGTTAAAATCTATATATTTTAAATCATAGTAAGTATTTGGACAAAATATTTATATATGAACTATATGTAATTATTATGCTATATATTTACAGACAACAATAAATAATGGGAGCTGACCAAATGCGAGGTTATCTATCCTAGGTTTCACTTTAAGTAAATAGATATATTGTGTGATGGTACAGAATCCTTTTTTTGGCCAATAATAATAAATACATCATAGTTTTATTGATTGACTAGCATTGCCCGCGGCTCCGCTCGCGTTCAGATTACCAAAAACCAAATTCTTAGGTTTTACATATTAGTATACTATTACATTGCAGTTTTTGTATTTTTTCTCCCTCTCTTTTTTTCTTCCCGCGGTAAAAATTATCCTATATGTTGATCGGGATAACCAGCTATCACCATGCCAAATTTCATCAAAATCCCTCCAGTATTTTTTCTGTGATGCAGTAACAGACAGACAGACAGACAGACAAACAGACAGACAGACGGACGGACGGACAGACAGACAGGCAGACAGACAGACAAATAGATAGACAAAAATTCTAAAAACTATACATTCGGCCTCTGTATAGATATTAATGTTTATTTCAATAAGATTTTCCAAAAAAATATTTAATGTACAGATTCGGCTTATTTACAATTTTATTATATGTATAGATATCAATAACATTATAAACAAAGTTTCAACAAGACGAATATAAATATAAAAAGATAATGAACGTATACAGTATATATAAATCATCCTATTATCAACAAATAATTCACCCTGAAAAAAGTTTAATAACCTCGTATGAAGAAAGAAAAAGCTCCCAAGGGAAACGTGATAGAGAGTAAAATATACTTGGTGACGCCACTGCCGTCTAGTTGTCTACCGTCTAGACGCTTGATAAGCAGTCTATTGTATAAATTAAATGAGTTCTATTCTAAATGTTTCCTAGTCTGTGGACATTTTACAACGTCTCTACACGACAACGACATGGCAACGTCACTAATGCTATAAACGCAGGAAACAAGGAAAATAAAGATATTGAGTTGCATTTAAACGCATCGCCGCCGTCGCCATTTTTATGGACTTGTATACAATATGTAATGTCATACAATACATTTGTATACTACAAAGAATGTTCGATTTCTTTAGATATGATATTATAGGTTACCTATTCCTATAACTGCCTCGGTGGTGTAGTGGCTAGCAATTACGGCTGTACACCCGGAGGTCCTGGGTTCGAGTCCCGGGTCGGGCCAAGTTTAGTTATTGAGTCTTTGTGTATAGTAAGTCTCAGTAACAGCCCGGAGTTGGAAAGTTGGCGGTGTTTCACCAACGTGCCTCGGAGAGCACGTAAAGCCGTCGGTCCTGCGCCTTAACTCTCACTGGTCGTGTCGAGCAGCCGTCCCACCGGTGTATGAGAGTGACAGGAATAGAGAGTGCACCTATGTGTGCGCGTACACTTGTGCACTATAATATCTCCTGCGCAGTTGGCTAGTCTCTATGAGATTGGCCGCCGTAGCCGGAATCGGTCAGGAAAACATCATTCCTGTATCTATTTTGAAGGAAAATTAAGCTTTTTTTAGTTTCCTTTATTATTTTAAATAAAACTACGTTTTCGGCTTTTTGATTCCTAACTACACAGGTAAGACTTAAAAAAATATTTTAATAAATAGGCTATTTTAATCATATACTTGTACTCCCAAGCGGATCCGAAGACAACCTACTAAATTATACTAAATTTGCCTAATATATGCAATGATTCAAATATCAACAATCTCTTGCTAAGCAACATTAGCTGTTTGAATTACTGATTGACTGAAAAGCTGAACGTTGACTTCATATTGTGTCAAGTATCAAAGGATACAACTGCGATAGATAGTAATTTGCTTTTAGTAATTGTAAGGACATATGATCCAACCAATTTCAACTAAATAGATCAGATTGCTTTTGCTGTAAGATTTTTTTAGCGTTCGCAGTAGATGGCCAGATATCTTCTGTTGTGTATCATTTTGCCATCATCTATACAGATAACTAAAATCGAAGTGTCTGTTTATAATGTCAAAATAAAAACTTTTTACTAGCAGGACACATTTTTTATAAATTTTTGTCTGTTTGTCCAGGCTAAACTCCGGAAAGGCTGGACTAATTTTGACGGGACTTTCAATGGCAGGTAGTTTATGTTATGTAAAAAGAATTAGGCTTCCGCTCAAAAAGATAAAATAAAACGTACATACTTAGGGGCACTCAAGCGAAGCAAGGGGTAACTCGCTAGTATTTATTTATTAAACTAAATTATTTTATCTTTGTTTCAGTGTATACCTGAAGGATGACTTCGCAGTTCTACCATATTTGGAAGCAGGTTTTAACAGGGTAAGAATATGCGTATTAAATAAACTCTGTAAAAATTAATTCTATTATTTGATGATATTATTATACAAGGTTTATTTAACCAATAGTCATATTAAAACAGAAAACTATAAAATTTATCTATATCGATTTATACATATAATAAAATTCGAACTAAGTTGAATCTGTACATTAAATATTTTATGGAAAATCTTATTGAAATAGTGATACAGATACAGGCCGAATCTATAGATTTTTAGAAGTTTTGTTTGTCAGTCTGTCTGGAAACGCATCACGAGAAAACCACTGGACCGATTTTGATGAAATTTGGTATGATGATAGCTAGTCAAAATATAGGACACTTTTTACTGCGGGAAAATATTTTATCTCTTAGAAATCTTAATAACCGTTAAAAAACGTATCCAGGGACGAACCCGAGCGAAGAGAGAGTGAGTAGCTAGTATTTTTATAAATCCAAGACAAGATTAAATACAAAAATTGTTACAGAATGATTGAATCGTTCATAAGCCTGATTGGCTAGTTATTTTATTAAGTTGATATTTGATTTGATCCTGTTAATATTCTTCGGCATTCGTATCTTAGTAGTCAGTTGTCTAAGAAATACTTTTATTTATTATATTTATCAGAACAGGTACCGTAAATATTCCAACTTTTATATTCATAGAAACATCCTTTTGTAATACGTATCATATAAAAAGCTTACGTACACATTTTATTAAACGTCCACTGACTACATATTATTTTAGCTTAATAGCTTAACAAGAAAGGTTCAAAACTAAAATATTTTATCAAAACCAAATAAAATCAATAATGAGCGAAACTTTGCAAACTTTTACATATTAAGCTTTTATCAACTTCGAAATTATTTATTATAAAATAAATTGAGATCTCTACATTCATAGTTTTTTGCCAGGATTATATTACACGAGGTCTAATTGTACGTATAGACGGGTAGAAACCGGTACATGTAACATATGTCCTCCTCGTCTCTATAAACCATCTCTAAAATACAAAAAAACGTGTGTATATATTTACTTATGTATGCACGTAAGAAATTATACTTCTTTGATGTAACAGAACAAAAATGGCTAAAGATTTCATCCCGTATGTAGTGACATAGTAGTGTCAGAGTAGTGACTCTGTTTGTAAAAGGAATGCAGCTAATTTCATCATGTCGCTTCCAGCTAACTTAATCATGTCGCTTTTTGACTGTCGGTATTCGCGCGCATCGTAAAAATTTAACTCTCCTAGGACAAAATAACAAACGTACCGTCGCATTTATAATATTATTAAGTAAAGATTATAATTTAATATTAAACTTTTCAGTTCGAATGCAGGTACGATACCTCCATTTTATATATCGCTTAGAACTTATAAACTAACTTCCTGTTTTACGGCGTCCTAATTTATAGCGAACATTTAAACTTTGAAGATCCTTTATACGCCACAAGTTTGTTAAGTAAAAGGGTAGTGACTACACGGCAAAGGCAATAAGACATTAGCATAAAACTAATTCGACTGATAGCGAAGGTGGTCTCGGAGGCTTAAATGTTATAAGAGCTAATGGATTTTCTAAAACATAAATTATAATATATGAGTATCTGAATTAAATAATTTATGTTAGTAAGTAATAAGTATACTAATTTTCGGTTAAAAACACGGTTTCAATGTGTAATATTTGATTGAGCTTCATAAAACTTCTGTGAGTTTCATGTTATTCGAAAAGTTAATTAAAAAGGAAGTAATATTATTCTTCCTTTTACCTTATTTTAGTCATTAAGAAAATTGAGAAATTATTATAAACATACGATGAAATAACATAATCATCATTATAGTTTAAAAAAAACTAAAAAAATACACTTTTAACTAAAAAAATATACTTTGTCTATCTTCTAGCTCCGTCATCAGATCAGCTCCAAGATACCATAGTACATCATTCGAATTACATATATAAAATTCTAAAACCTATAGATTCAGCCTCTGTATCGATAATAATGTCTATTTCAATAAGATTTCACAAAAAATATTTAATTTACAGATTCGGCTTAGTTAGAATTTTATTATTTGTATAGAAGAAGGTCTTTGCATGCCTAATGTGTTTATCTCAGACAACATATATAATAATATTATTGTAATTTTACTGCGTGTGCAATTAAGAATAAACAAACAAATAAATAAAAGTTAACAATTGACAGGTAATGGTAGAAACTCTTGGTGCGACAGCGTGGTGCGGGGAGATGTTGCAAGCGCGTGCGGCGGCCGCGTCTGCGCGCGCGCAGGTCGGCGCGGTGGCGGCGCTCGCGGCAGCTATGGACAGGTGCCGGGATCTAGTCGCCGTCACTGATGACCAGCAGAGGATACTCGTTAGTTTTTGTTTCTTTTAATTTTTAAATACTTATATATATATATATATATATATATATATATATATATATATATGATATATATTTATAAACTAAACATAATTATATGCATACGTGATAATGAATTATTAAAATATAATTTTATAAGCGCCATGGTCACAGGTATATACATATACTATACTATAACTGAAAAGGTTGTCGATAAAAATCGAATTTAAATGTCTATAAAATGCACATTTATTATAAAATATACATATTCTTTGTAATTTATCCTATACGTAAATATCTCTTGAATGAATTAATACATAGTTATTTATATAGCGATAAAATAATAAATAAATAACGATATTATATAGCCTTTTTAAAATATTTTTTCTTAGCTCACAAACAAGTCATGGTGTCGAGTGGTAGGTTGGAGACCAGAAGATGGTCCCCGACCACTAACAGAAGCCGTAAGTGGAGAGGCTCTGCGTCTAGCAGCCTCCGGTGTGAGAGACTGGGAAGCTCCAGTGATGCTGCGGAGACGAGCTGCGCCTGACTCGATATTGTTACCGTGTAGAGGATCTAGTGTAACTTTGAACAGGTAAATTAGAAAGTTTAATTGTAATAAGTCTCATGAATCTGAAATGAATTTTAGCGACACGTTTTTGTTTTCGTTCTTTTTTAATTAGACATTATACCATGATAACACTAATACGTGTTTTAAAAGAATAAAAATGTTTTACTTGCTTTTCATTTCATTTTTAAATAAAGTCTATTCACCATATTTTGTATACAAATATTATCTTTTATGAGGCAGTAAAAATATTTTCTGTTATATATCCAAAAAGATAGTTGTATTTAAAATGTCAAATATTCGCGTAAATCTAAGAAAGTATTATTTTCTGTTATAGTCGATAAATAATTAAAGGCCTGCCAACCCTTCGCTATACACGGTGCGTGCGTAGGTGCCTAAATGTTACTCCAGATCATAATCTACATGTGTTGTGATGTATTCTATATACTTAGTTAATTTTCATCGAAATCCGTCCAGCATTTTAGCGTGAAATAGTAAACACACACAACTTTTAAACATACCAGTACTATATCAAACATTCTAATAGTAAATATGTTGGGATATTAACACACAGTGCCATCTAGTTCCATGGTAAGCTACAAAGCATTAGTTATGGATACCAGATAGTTGATACACTACACATATATAACTTTAAATACGTACATATTATAAATACACCCATGACTGGAGAACAAACATTCGTGCTCATGGCACAAATGAATCCCCCAGCGGGTCTCGAACCCGCGACCGCTGGCACAGCAAGTAGGGTCACTACAAACTGAGCCAAACGAGTCGTCAATAACAATAATTTAATTTAAACACACAAACACAATATTTTCTCTAGGAGCACATCACACATAGTGTTCGTATGCGAGCCGAGCAACAGTATGGAGAGCGAGCGCGCTCGCGGCTCCCTGCACTCCATCCGGCGAGGCTCGCTGGACGTGCGCTCCGTCGCGTCCGACGGACTGCGGCGCACTTCCCTCGCCAAGCTACAGGGATTGCCGCTCGAAGCTCCTATCACTAAAGTAAGATTTTATAATGCTACTAACACAAATATACCCTAAATAACTACAAAAAACCGGCCAAGTGCGAGTCGAACTCGCGCACGAAGAGTTCCGTACTTTTTTTAGTTATCCATAAAAACGGCAAAAAATCGCGTTTGTGGTATGGGAGCCCCACTTAAATATTTGTTTTATTTTAATTTAATTATTAGGATAAGTGAATATATAACTAAATATTCACATAAAAAAATCACGTTTGTTGTTATAGCGGCAACAGAAATCCATAATCTGTGAAAATTTCAACTGTCTATCACGGTTCATGAGATACAGCTTGGTGACAGACGGAGAGACAGCGAAGTCTTAGTAATAGGGTCCCGTTTTACCCTTTGGGTACGGAACCTTAATTAGTGTTCGCCTAATGGTTAAACTCAAATTCGACCATAAATTGAAAATTTGAAAATATATAAGCAGAATTTGTCTAAGTATAAAAAACTAACAGTTAGCAAAATTATTGATAACGCTAAAGCTCGTCAGCTACTAAACAAAAACAATATACTCATGATTTCTCAAATGTTTTTAAAATTTAAACAACTTTTGCATGGCTTCAAATGTTAATGAATAGTGCTAAATTGAAATTTAGCGATTGATAATAAGTTACGAAATTAATTTAATTTAGAATAACTTACCGTAATTTTTTTTTTTTACCTTAACCCGAGGGTCGTCAATGACAGAACTTTAAGTTATAGTAAAAATCGAATACAAATATTTTAATGTTCTTTCGAATTGCATCAATATCTTCATTTCATCAACTATAATAACAGCTTCCACTCAATTTATTCAGTTTTTAATGTAATTTAACATGAAAGTAAAATTTTGAAACCTTTACATACGTTTTAATTCCAATAAATTTTAAGTACTTTAAAAACTAAGCTATGACTATCGGCCAATAAATTTAGTTCCATTAAAAAAGAAAATTAAATTAATTTTTACATTTACCTATAAATAAGTTCTCAATACACATTCTCATATCTGTATTAAGCCCTTTTTTAACGTCCCACTGCTGGGCACGGGCGTCCCTTCAATACGAGGGGGATCAGGCTATAGTCCACCGCGCTGGCCAAGTGCGTGTTGGCAAACTTTACATGTCTTTTGAAAACTTGCTAGGTTGACATGCAGGTTTCCTCACGATGTCTTCCTTCACCGTTAAGACAAGTGGTAATCATGTTGTTAATGATTCGCACATGAAAATATCAGAGGTGCGAGACCCGGGATTTGAACTCGCTTTCTTATATCTATACTTCTATACTAATATTATAAAGAGGTAAAATTTGTGAGTTTGTAAATTGTGAGTTTGTGAGTTTGTGACGTCGTTGTAGGTGGTAATCTCTGGATCTACTGAACCGAAGATACGTTTGAGACCCTAAGAAGGACATAGGATACTTTTTTCCCGGAAATCTTCCCTTAACTGGTTGAAAATGGGGATGGAAGTTCATATGGGGAATTAACCTAACTAACGCTAGTATACAATGTATATATATTTTCCCATTCCAGGTAATATCCCTCCTGTCAACAGCCACAGAGGGCGCGCCGCCGTCGACCGTGGCCTGCATAGAGCGCGCGGTGGACATGCTCAGGACGTCCGAGTTGTACTCCCCGCAAATGCGAGAGGACCCCAAGATGAGGGCGGAAGACCCCATCGCCACTGACCTCATTGGGGCTTTGTTATCGGTGAGTTATATAAGGTTTTTATATATAGAAAATTATTTATGTTATTTGGGTTAGTAATTAATTATTGTTTTTCATAATAATATTGTAATTACGTGATTGGAGGTGAATTCGCGAATTTGATATTACCGAACTGAAAATATTAAATTACATACCGTAGGTATATGAAATTTGAATAAGTTTTGTGATTTCGTTATTCATTAGATAGTTTTATACCAATTAATTTCAAAATGCTTTTCTCTAGCTACAAGGGAAATTAATTAAAATAGAACAATATGTATAAGATCTTTTTTATCTTTTTTTTCTTGATTTTTAGTTTATTTTTTTTATGGTAAATGCTTATAATGTCTATACGTGTTTTTTTCTCTATGTTCGTTTACAATGAAAAAAATATTCTCTACTGCTTAAAAAAACTTGCTCAATAAATTATTATTACTATTTTATTTGTGTATTCATAAATAATTTATGTTTGTTTTAAATATTTTATATAATTAATTATTATTTATTTCAATATAATACAATATATGTAATTAATTTATTTAGATTAATATAGCTATAACCATAAAAACGACTCATCATAACTTATGTACCCAGTAATATAATATGAAATATTATACAATACATATATTTGAGCTTAATAAATAAAAATAATAAATAAAATGCTAACAATTATTATTATATAACGTATAAATACGTTATAATAAGACCTATGTACAATAATAAAATACACTAACAATTATTTATCTGTTCCCAATCCTGTTCGGGCTGAAAGCGGGAGCAAGTGAATACAGGCCTTATTTATATGGTAGGAGGTTTTAAAATAAAATAAAATCTTCCTCTAATGTGATCGTTTTAGATGTTCTGTAACGCTTAAATTATGTAGTTTCAGGAAAATGCGCCATGAGCCATCTTGTGTTTGCTAACAAAAGTTTTTACTGTCTTTCCAATTATATTTTTATGTTTATACTAATATATTTATGTTAATACATATCCTATTATCGTTGCGATTGGTTCAAATCTTAAAATTATGTTCTACACCAGTAAAACTTGTTTTTGGCATTTTGCAACACCTTAGTAATTGATAATATTTTGTTTATAATATTAAAAGTTTCTAAAGTTTAATAAATAATATATACAATACAATTAAAGTAGCGCTTCATTCAAAAGTAAAATTTGATCGATATGTATGTAATAAGCAAAATATATGCTTTTATATAAGCAAAGTTAGACACATTTTTCATTTAATACTTAGATACTTACTTTGAAATAAAGTTAGAATACTTCAAAGATCGTCGTGTAAGTTGCTTTTAACTTAACGTATTTCAGTCGTAAAGTTTACGATTTTTCTTCATAAAACCTTTTATATCTTCGAGTATAGAATATCAATATTTACAAATAACCGTCGCAAATTGATAAATAATAGAATGAAGGAAAAATTTCCTGGAAAAATAAATATCGATGGAACTTATTTTGTAAAAGATGTAATGTGACCCCTCGGGCTAATTTCATTTATCTTTCCTTTATCTTTATGATTATACTAAAATCGAAATAGAAACCTTACACCTTTAGCCTTAGGCAATATCATATTTTTTTGTTTTGTAACTTATATCGTATCTAATCGAGAATCTTAAGTCTCTAAAGAGTAATTTGTTTTCTCAGATTTACGCGAATATTATAATATTTACCATTTGACATTTAAATAAAACTTACATTTTCTCGCATTTTTAGTTTGATTTTTGGTACCCAGCGTTTCTGATGCTTTACAAGAATTATAGTCACGGGAGACCGGGAGAGATTACGAAAGTGTTTCTTTACAGATTTTAAGAACGTTAACCAAACGATTAAAAAAACTATCTTAAATATAATATTAATCAAATAAATTTTAAGATTTGTTCCGAATTGCTGCTAACTTATAACCAAAATGATTTTCTATCGCCCTCACTTCTATTCGCATTATATTTTCTATGTTTTATTTTTGGCTCTGTAACACGCTCTTATGGACAACTTGAATATTGCTTCAATATGAAAATTTTTGTATTCATTTATTTATAACTATAACTTTAAGCTGTAGTATCAATTATATAGCACATAATGTACATAACTTCTTCATATCTCATTATACATATATGTATAATATGTGTATATATAATATTATTTATGTAATTTACATGTACATACTTATATAGATTATTTATAAAACTATAAATGTTTATATGTACGTATGGATATTAAAATATATATTTACTACAGTATATAATTCAATAGATTATTTATGTCAGTTATATACGAGTATGTATGTATGTATGTAAGATTTTAATTTTATTTTTAGCAAGGTACAACCAACGTGCTATCGTCACGGAGGAGCAGTAATGATTCCACAGTAGTCAGATCTCAAGCCAATAGAACAAATATGAAACATAAGGTAAGATTGAAACAAATAATTTGATTAGTTATGTAACTTAGAAACATATACCATTTGCCGACTACAGTCTACATTATAATGTATATATAATATCATGTGCCGGTATATAAACTTTTAAGTTGTAATGAATGAAATTTTCTAGTCTTTGTTTGCGACTTTTTTTGTTTGATTAAGGTTAGATGAGATAAAGCTAAGATAAGGACCTGGGCGACATAGCTTCGCTCGGCGTTTTTCGAAAAGATATAGGCAAAACATAACTAAATACATAATTTGATCTAAATTGAGCAAAAATTTGAGCCGTTTCCGAGATGCCTACGCGAATTTTTTTTATAAATATACAAGTATTGCTCATTTAATAATATTAGTGCCTGGGCTACCGAGCTTTGCTCGGAATTTTTGGCCAAAAAAACATTAAAAAAAAAACAAACTAAAAATTTGAATAAATACAAAAGTAAAACCTTTGTATCCGACCGGGATACGAACCCAGACAACAGTGGTTGTCAAACTTGCGCCTTGGCCGCTTGACCACGATGCTTATGTCCTGGCGTGCGAATTAGCGACCATATTTTGCGTGGTAATAATGCGAAACAATACCGTATGAAAACTCGAAAACACGCGTTTTCCCAGACATAAAACTAATCTACATCGATTTATCGCCCCCGAAACCGCCTGCATGCTTAAGATTCATGAAAATCGTTGGAACCGTTTCCGAGATTCAGATTATATATATACAAGAATTACTCGTTTAAATATATTAGATTATAGAAGATTTTTAGTTAGAAAGGAAGTTTTAACTTATATGATAGTGATATGACATTCATTTCTTGTTCTAATCTCAAGTACACTTAACATTTTACATATAAGTACATTGTTTAACGATCGTTTAGTGCCTACTTTATATTATGCGTTATTTATCACTCAACCATGAAACTGTTGTTTTTCGTTTTCAAGCAACTTCCAAAAAAGAGGAGATTCTCAATTCGTGGGAATCTTTTTTTATGTATGTTCACCGATTATTCGAAGACGCCTGAATCGATGTGGAAAAATTCTTTTTTTTGTTTCAAAGGGTATACTTACTTCCCAGGTGGTCCGAATTAAATAAATGGGTCGCCAACAAAAATTTCTTCTTACAAATTACCTGCTAATTACGTCTACACTAAAATGAAAAAATAAAAACAAAAAAAAAGACGATTTTCAGGCACTAAAAAGTATTAAATAACTAAACGGGAGTCGTCGTCGCCAGCCGATACAAATCTAAGCACACCGACTTCGAAAATGTCTGAATAGGTATCTATTCTAAATGAAAACCCCCGTTTAGTCATTTAATACTTTTTAGTGCCTGGAAGTCGGTTTATATTTATTTTCTATCAAAATATACATACACATAATACATATGCCTATTAATTAATTATCTAAACATCTTATATCTTTAAATATCAGTGAAAGATAACAATGCAGTAACAAGTAATAAAATCAGACATGTTAAGGGTATAAACTATGATAGTACCTAGTACTTACTATAGGTATTTATAGTTTTCGGAAATTCAATAATAAACCTTACCAACTACCGATTGAGCTCGTTAGTTTGATATCCGGTAACGTAATCAATTCAGTAACATGTGTGTATCATGTTTTATAGCCATAGTTACGTCATGGTTTGTGTCTAACTAGTATTGCCTTCTGTGGTTCAGGTTGCGAGTTCGATTATCGTATGAGGAAATATTTTTGTTATCTATACCAATAACGGTAAGTCTGGTTTTAAAGATTGTATATGTATAATATGGGTATCGTCATATCTTGCGTTGTTTTGCATAATGGAGAAAGTAAGTTAAAATGGGCTATATATTATACTAATAAAATAAAATTTAGGATACGGATTTTGTTTTATTAATTGTTAATAAAACTAAACATAGTATATTATAGTATATTAAGTTATATATGAACTATACTATACTTTATGAACTGCAATACCTTTCTCATTTTCATATAGTTGAGTCGAGTTTTTATCCATACTAGTACTAAGTAATGAAGAAATCTAATATATAAAATTCTCGTGTCACACCACAGTGTTTGTAACAAAACTCCTCCGAAACGGCTTGACCGATTCTAATGAAATTTTGTGTGTAAGTTCAGTAGATCAGAGTATAGGGCGTAAACCTAAACCTAAATTCATACCCCTGAGTGATAAAGGTGGTCCAACCCAAAAAAAATTTTTTAGTCAAAATTTTTTTTAATTTTTTATTCGGCATTAAAAATACATACAAACCTAAATTTTTACTAGAAACGAACCCAAGCGGAGCGAGGGTGAATCGCTAGTAATATATGTAATATCATCATCATACATATAAGATGAATCTTCATAAATACAAGTACAATACACTTGATTGAGCACAATAGAATACCTTCTCGGATTTTACTCGTATGAATAGACCGGACCTAATCAATTCTGATAGGATATTGTAATCTGAGAGCCGGATCACGACTCGGACAATACGAGTAGTGGTCAAGTAGTTCCACTAATTTGCGAATTTCACGTAACAAGCTCAAGACCATGATAATTCTGTCTACTTTATTCATTAGTCTGAGACTCAATCATGAGTCTACAAAAACATCCATAACCTTACAGTATAGGTATTAAAATTTTTTTTACTCAACAGACAACAGGCCAACTCCGCGAAATATTAGATACGGCCATAAACTGGGACTTCGAAATATTTCGCCTAGAAGACATAACTCGAGGGCGGCCATTAACGCACCTAGGGTTGACCCTCATGGGCGGGCGGTTCGATGTTTGCTCAGCGCTCGAGTGCGATGAACGTACATTACTACACTGGCTCACGATCATCGAGACAAACTACCATGCGGTTAATACATACCATAACTCTACTCATGCCGCTGATGTTTTACAGGTGAGGTCTTTGCTGTATTATTACTTGAACAAATGTTTTTTTTTAATTTAAACACATCACTCTCTACTTCAATGGTAAGCTAGGAGACTTGTGTTATAGATACCAGATAGTTGATACACTACATATATATAACTTTAAATACATAAATATTATAAATATAAACACCGATGACTGGAGTACAAACATTCGTGCTCGTCAGACAAATGATTGACTCCAGCGGGACTTGAACCCGCGACCGCTGGCATAGCCAGCAAGTAGAGTCACTACAAACTAAGCCAAACGTGTCGTTATTCTTTAGTATAGGAATATTTAGTAGCCAGCCCCACAGAGATAAAGCTTCATACAAACCGCGCAACGAAAGCTGCACTACTACATAAAACAGTTTGTGGGCTTTCCTACCTAAAATTGTCAACAGCTCGAGCTAAATAAAACCGGTTTTTTCAACGGACAGTACGTACATAAACACTACGGTGAGCTGTCAAGCACACGCCGCTTCTTGTCCAAGCATTCCGTGGTTGTTTGAAGCCTTTTCTCTCTAAGGATTCTTACTATGTTTGTGTATGTAATTCCATATTTAGTTTAACTATATTCTTAAATATTGATAATTTTCTAGCAGTTTAAAAAAATCGTAACCCATAAGAACATATATCATCTATTTGTACATTATAAAATGAAGTATAAAAAATCTAAAGTTAGAACTGTTAATGATTTACATACATACTATGTACGTATATATGCTAAGCTTGCTTCCCAATACAAACTTTCATCCCCATTTTCACCTCCTTAAAGGACGATTTCCGGGATAAAAACAATCCTATGTTCTTCCCAGGGTCTCAAACTATCTTCTTACCAAACATCTAAAACAGTTCAGTAGATCCAAAGATTACCCCCCACAACGTCACACACTAACAAACTTTAACTCTTCATAATATTAGTATAGATAACGTATTATGTTTATGGCAATAAAACGCTTTATTGATTTTAATAACATCACCTTTCAATCCCTAGGCCGTAGCATTCTTTCTAGAGAAGGACCGTCTAAAAACAATAATAGAGCCACTAGAAGCGGCGGCGGCCCTGATAGCGGCGGCCGCGCACGACATCGACCACCCCGGCACCTCCTCCGCCTTCCTGTGCAACTCGCGCCACTCGCTGGCCATATTGTACAATGACGTCAGTGTGCTGGAGTCCCATCATGCTGCTTTGACCTTCAAATTGACTCTTAGTAAGTTTGCTTTTGTATATTTTTTATAGTGTATGGATTTTTATATACATAGTTCATAATTAATATACATATCGTCGTATCGGTGCGACCATATTAACGAAAGAGTTTTAATACGGAATTATTGAATTTTAAATATCAATTTTATTGGTATTAAATACATATTTTACTATTAAAAAAACCTGAAGAATGTACTTAATCCCTATATGTATATAAATCTTTGAAATTGAACTTTGCTTTTAAAATAGAAGGAAAATAATCTCTACTAGAAGTATAATAAGTATTGGTCATTTGAATAAACAAGCATTAAGGCGACTATATAGTGGTAAGGTCAAGCTGTAACTTAATACCTGCGACCAAACTGATTGAAATTAATCTAACGAAATGGTTATTCGCCCGATCTACGAATCTACGGGACTTTCCCGTAGGTGACCCGTGGATCGATTAAGTTTAGTTCAAGCATTCAGATCCACGGGAATTTTTACGTTGGCCTATAAATAAGTTTTCAAAAACAAGATGTAAATATGTTACCGACCAAACTAGATTTCAAGTCAAACTAGTTGTCCTAGGCCAAACCGGTTCATCCAATGTGTGTCAGGATATAATACTAGAGTTATACATATTTAAGTACAGATATAGATCCCATTTATAATATTTTTTACAAAATATATATTAAGGTATTAAAACTTTCATGGCTTTTAAAAGCTCTCAAAAGTAGGTGAAAAACATGGTAAATGTCCTGTTTTACATCATAATAAAAACAAATATAAGTTATTTAAAAGATACTGATTATATAAATTAACGCACAGACGACGACCGCGTCAACATCTTCAAGAACCTCGACCGCGACACGTACAAGTCGGTGCGCCACAACGTCATCGACATGATCCTGGCCACGGAGATGACCAAGCACTTCGAGCATCTCGCCAAGTTCGTCAACGTGTTCTACGCCAAGCATACTGGCAGCAAGGAGGACGTCATGCACACTGATGTACGTATTTTATTTGTATGTATGTATGTATGTATGTCTCTTTGTATTGAGCACAACCTCCTTTCAATGCTAAGGAGTAGACCAAAGTCTTGGCCAAATGCGGGCTAGTGGATTTAGCAAGTTTTCGAAAGACGTGTAAACTCTGGCAATCCGCATTTGGCTAGCGTGGTGGATAAAGGTATAATTGTCCTCACATTGAGGAAAGCACGTGCCCAGCTGTAGGTCTGTGTCATCGACTTCATAATCACTTAAGAAGTGACCATTTCAACCTTAGATGTGGAATATTTTCTTGAAATATATGGGACCTTTGACGAACCTGCATCAAAGATGGATATCTCACAAAACATACAGTCAGTCAAAAATTTATTATATCAACGCTTTTTTATATACTAACTAGCGACTCTAGGTTGATTCCCCATACAAAACTTTATCTCTATTTCACCCCATTGAGAGATGATTTCCCTGATAAAAAGTATCCTATGCACTTCCCCAGGGTCTCAAACTATATACGTACCAAATTTCAACTTCATCATCATTTATAATAGTAGTGTAGATAAATAAATGAACATTACCCTGGTCCAGGAGGAACCCCTGTCCCTGGATACGACCGCGCTGACGTCGCCGGAGAACGCGGTGCTCGTGAAGAGGATGATGATCAAGTGCGCGGACGTGTCCAACGCCTCGCGCCCGCAGAAGTTCGCCTTCGAGTGGGCGAGAAGGTACATATATCGTTTTTCTGGTTTTTATTTACGTTTATAATGTAATTATTATTGTTATGAATTATGTGTGTAGAAATTTAAGGTTTAATCTATACGGATAAATTAAATTGTAGTGTCTATTTGTTATGTTAAAATAACAGCTGTTTTACTAAATTCATATAAAATTATATTATGGCACTTACAAGAAAACTCTATTTTTTTTAATTTTTGTTTGTCTTTCTGTCTGTTTGTCTATCTGTTCGTTCCGACTAATCTCCGGAAAGGCTGGAATGATATTGACTGGACTTTCACTAGCAGATAGCTGCTGTTATAAGGAGTAACTTAGGCTACTTTTCTTTTAGAACAAAAATTAGGATTTTGCTGGAAAAAAATTAAAACGTATCTAGCGACGCACCCGAGCGAATCGAGGATAAGTCGTACTATAAATTCTAGTCGTAGTCGTACTAAAAATCCTATAACAAAGCATTTGCAATTTTCCCGATTTTTTAAATTTTCTAGTAAGTACATTTATTTCCCCAAAATCGTTAGACGACTACGAACATTTTAAATCAAAATTAGTTTCCTGAATATACATATTTAATACAATAATAAGAATTTATTGTAAGATCGTCATGTAATGAATCTACAGAGTCGATTCCTCTATGAGCACGTTTTATATAAACGAATAGGTTACTGACAAATATAGAATATATTAATTCTACTTTGCCAACCCAAAAAAAAATTGCTAGCGTTTTCATTAAAATTTTCAATGATCATTAAAATAATTATTCAGTAAATATTTTATAAGTCTAATCAGCTTAATTTGTCCGCCAACCCGCACTTGGCCAGCATGGTGTACTATGGCCTGATCCTCCTCATATTGAAGAGAGGCCAGTGCCCAGCAGTAGGACGTTAAAAAAGGTTGAATACAATCAACTTAATCTATATATTTGATTTAAAAATTTCCAGGATAGCAGAAGAGTACTTCTTGCAAACGGATGAAGAGAAGGCAAAGGAGCTGCCGGTAGTGATGCCGATGTTCGACCGCGCGACCTGCTCCATACCGCGCTCGCAAATCGGCTTTATAGATTATATTATTATTGACATGATGGAGGCTTGGGCCGGTGAGTGACTTAGCTTTGATTATAAAGATGAGGTAAAGATTTTAAGGAGATTTAGAACAATTAATAGCCACTAATATATAATATTATTAGTGACTCACCCTCGTTCCGCACTGTTACATTCCTACACTTACGTTTTAACGTTTAGTATAGATTTCTCAGAGATGGGTATTTTACAGTAATAAAAAGTATCCTATATTTTGACCGGTATAATTAGCTATCGTCATAACAAATTTCATCGAAATCCCTTCAGTGATTTTTCTGTGATATGGTCACAGACAAACAGTAAGTCAAAAAATCTAAAAACCATATATTCGGCCTCTGTATCGATAATAATGACTTTTTCAATAAGATTATCCAAAAAATATTTAACGTGCAGGTTCGGCTTAGTTACAATTTTATTATATGTACAGACTAGCGACTCACTAGCTTGCTTCCCAATACAAACTTTCATTCCCATTTTCATCCACTTAAGGGATGATTGCCGGGATATAAAGTATCCTATATCCTTCATAGGGTCTCAAACTATCTTCTTACCAAATTTCATCTAAATCGGTGCAGTAGATCCAGAGATTACCCCCTACAACGTCACAAACGCACAAACGCACAGACTTTACCTCTTTATAATATTAGTATAAATATAGATTTAAATAAAAGCTATTAAAATAAGAAACATTCCAGCATTCATCGACATGCCGGAGCTGGTGACGCACGCGCGCAACAACCACCAGCGCTGGCGCGAGCTCGACGACGCCGGCGTCACCACCATCGCCGACGTGCGCCGCGCGCAGCGCCAGCCACACTCTACCTCACAACCTACTGCGGAAGAATGAAATACTTATTTATCTGTTACTGTACATACAGATTAATATATAGAGGGGTGGACTGAGATATTTAAATATGCCAGCCAAGTACACTGAGCGTTAGACCACCATCGTTGACGTAAAGCGCGCAGAGGCATACCGCGGTACAGCCAAACTCCACTTCACAGCTCACTGCGGAAGAATCAAGGACGTCTTATTTATCTGTTATTGTAGACACAGGTTTGTTTTATACATAAAAGAATGGACTGCGACTGATAAATTTAGATATGCGAGCCAAGTGAACTGTTAAACAAAAGTAATGAAAAAACTTAGGAGTGAGAACGAGACAAAGGGATTATGTTGTTTCTTACAAAGACTAATTGTTCGTATGATTATTACCCATGTGTATGGCACTCATCATATAAAATATTGTCACTGACCATGAAAGTTTATAGACTCATATAGATCTATTTACGGATATAGTCTTGAAGAAACAAAACTCATATTGACTACATGTTCACTTTGTCTCTTTCCAACAGTCAATTTTGTAAAATAATAGTCGGTCCATTCATCTAAGTCTACAATTATATATACAAAAAAAACTTAAATTGACGCATGTACTTAATGAGCTTAAAAAGGCTTATATAACTGCTCTCACTGCTCAGAAAAAATAAGCGTTTTTACAATAGCATGTACTTTTTTTTAAAGGAAGTAACTATTCGCCGGATCGCTGCATCTACGGGAAGCTTTCCCGTAGCTCCCGTGTGTCGATTAAATTTAGTTCAAGCTTTCAGATGAACTTCATGAATCTGAACGCTTGAACACAATTTGATTTTTTAATAAGAACTTATTTATAGGTAAATGTAAAAATTCTGAGTACAGGAATTTTTCCCGTGGATCTGAAAATTTGAACTAAACTCAATAGATCCACGGGTCAACTACGGGAAGGCTTCCCGGAGACAAATAGATCGGGCGAATAATCGTAGCCTATTTAAAAACATAGTTATCTAGTCTAGGATGGAGCGAATAAATTTTTTTTTTTGCAGCTTGGGGGTAGAATTTGTAGCTTATAAAAAATCGTTTTTGTTATATTCGGGGTTCGTTAAATAATTATTTTTTATTTCTATAAGCTACAAATTCTACCCCCAAGAAAAGAAATATTTTTTTTCACTCCACCCTATTTATATTATTATCTACACAAACCGACACGGTGCCGACACGACATTATTCCGGTATTAGGAAAAGGCCTGAATCGTGAGGACATCGTGGATATGCTTTCGCGCAATAGAATATCTATTACGTGAAAGTTAAAACGGAGTTGTATAACATTAAACAACAAAAAATATTGAAAAAAAACAGATTGTTTACTTAAAATATAAATTGTGAAAACTAAACATATAAGGACATTTTTGATTACGTGTGCCAAAGCTATCGATCTATGTTGTAAAGACATAAAAACAATGTACTGAGAAAGCAGATAGAAGAAAGCTCTGCGATACAGCTTATTTAAATAAGTAATATACCGACTTTTGAAAAAAATATTCCACCCTTACATTTTTTTAATTTATGATGTCATCCTTGAGGTATAATATTAAATAAATAATCATAAAAATAGGTCGAAATATCGCGTAACGTACATCAAAAAAACATATAGGTGCCCTTAATTAAGATTTTCAAAATTTTTGAAATAATGTAATAAATTTTAGTGATTAAGTTTTTCAAGATTTTTAAAAAATTTCAAAATTTTAGAAGTACCTAGTAGGTAAAAAATAAACCACCTCAAATATGATTAAAATAATATTTCTTATTTGGGTTGTATTAACAATTTAAATTATATATATCATTGGTACTTAATATAATAGTCATTATATGTAAAAGTAGATTGAAAATTTTATTATATACGTATACACATAAAAAACTTTCAAAACTGTATTACAAATAATTGTAATTATTTTATAAAATGAAAATTGTAATGTATTGAATATAATCATAAAAATGTATTGATTTATACTATTTGTTAGGCCTCATAAGGTTCAAAATAAAAAGAAAAAATAAATAAAAAGAAATGATTAAACTTGTAAATCTAAACAGGTGTAATTTTTATGTTATCTAAATAATAATAACACAGGAAAAACGTACTTTAAATTTTTGTGCACGTTGTTGCCAAAACGTCTTGGCTTTATCTGGGGCCAAAGTTGATGCCACTATTATTCTACATTATAATGTAGATAAAAATAACTCGGACTTGACGCTTAGGACTATATTCCTTAAAGCATTTTGAAATAAAAAAAAATTAAATTGATAAGTCTGAAACGGATCGGCGAAGAGCCTTAAATGTCCGTAAATACGCTTATTTTATACATTATATCCGTGTTAGTGGGTATTGTATTTTTATCTGCACCGACATCTATACATGGACACGCTCTATAAATTAAAAAATACTATACATATAAAGAAACATTTCAATATTTTAATATTGCGTTTATTTTTACTAACAAATATGAAATTCTTCTCATTTCTATATAATGTTAATCAAAAGAACAGATTCGGGATATGTCCACGTTTATATGTCGCTGGTCTACTTAAGTAGTGGTAGATATTGAATCAAATATGTTTATTGGTGTATTTTAACGTAAATATTTTCATTAATATATCTTTGGGTGTCTTAAATTTGGAATAAAAATATACTTCCGGTGTCATTTGCATGCAGTAAAGTTGCTTGCACTGTAATGTTACGAGTATATCAGATGGTTCTAATATTTTAAAAAAAAAAACAATCTATTTGGTGTTTTGAGTCGTCTGAATGACACCGAAATTATATGCAGATACGAATATCCCTGTATCTATCGTCGTACTAAATGTTATTCAATGTGTGTATAGCAGTTGCCATTTAGACGGGTATTTAATTTGTAGATAAATGTGTAAATTAAAATTTGTGACAGATCGCCATTTTAAGATGTCGGCGAACTGTCATAACTCGATCATCTCTTTCACCGCGCGCCATGACAGCATAAAACCTTCTCAACACAATAGGTATTGTTCAACTAAAACAGCCCTTCTACCTTAAATCTTCGATGTTTTTTTATATTTCTATTGACTGTATTAAAAAATATTGTCTAAAAATTGGTCCATATACACTTGAGCTTTGAAATAATTCCTATTTTTATATATAACTTTTATAGTACCTACGTATATATTTACATATACCGAAACCTTTCGGCCTCGTCATATCAAAATTCCAAATTTTCGAGCGTTTTAACAACTTTTCTAACTTGATTGTATACACCGTTTCATTCTCTCTCGGACACGTGTACGTTTTATACTACCGATGCTTGGATTTCGAAATCTATACACTTAGATCGCTTACATTTCGTGTTATCTACTATTAACATAATTTATTATATTCGAATAAGATTTAACGTGTTATACTAATTATTATTAAAGTAGAGATTTATTCGTCTTTATGACGCTGGTATCGTAAGTTATTTATACCTATTATATAGCTAATAAAATTATTGAGGTTATATATAATACGCTTCCTTGTGCTCAATGTCAATATAACGGTCTAAACTGACGTAGAGATAATCGTGTTTACGTAACGTGTGGGGCGATCATTTTGATTGGGTTTTTTGGGGAATCCTTTATTTGACAGAAGAAAAACATAGATGTAAAGAGAAAATTACGATCTAGTTTTCAACTATGCAAAATATTACAAAAATGGAGTTCTCGCTACTATGTACTACTTTATTTCCATCGTTTGTTACATTTCCTCTAAAACCCAATTTCAATATAAATGCCTATAATTTTACTTTTATGTAAAAACATTAACCCCTTTATTTAAAAGTAGATCGTGGTGTTCAATCTCATATTTGATCGTATTTAACGTAATTGTCAAAGTAGGTAGAGCTCGTCTACTAACAAAGTATGAAATTGTCGTATTAGTTAGCTCAATTCGTTTGAACAATAAGATGTTCAATATTCATTAGAAATTATTTTTTGTCTCCTTTACGCTATATAAAGTAAGAAATCTCAGGCTGGTCTTGTAACTAAATGGAATCGAGAAGATTATAATTATACATTTTAGTACATAATAATATGACTCACTTCAATTCTTAACTGGAACAAGTTACTTTAATAGTATAAAGGAGACCATTTTTGAAGTGAAACTTTAGAATCGTTGTGATTTGAAACTCGATGAAATGAAAATGCGACACTAGAAAGAGACAAAAACCAATATATAGGATTAAGCCGGCGAGAGAATGAGATATAATACATTGCACAGGAAGTGAAATATGTTATGTTAAAACATGTTAAATAAAATCTAAAATAACTTTTAAAGTTGGTAAAAAAAACTAAACTTTACAATTATTCTATAATATCCTACTCTTGATACTCTATAATATATATGTTCATCTCATTCTCTCGTTGGTTACTTTTCTAAAGTTTCACTTCTACTGTGAGTGAATTGCACACACACACACACACACACACACTTTTTTTTTTAAATAGTATGCGCAGAATAATGTTATTAGTTTAAATTATTATATTTAATTATGTCTTTAAAATAAACGCCTACAATTAACTTAATAAATGTTTTAACTTTGTGTTAACGTAAGTTGGTCGTTTGGATGATACAAGCCGGGGCTGGTCCCCGGTGGATGAGGTTATTGTTGTGAATTTTATATACAAATATAATATGCTATAGGTACTGAATAATAAATATTATCGCATAACTCAGAATTATATTGGAAATTCCAAAAAAAATATTGTGAAACTCGCTTTTTGCTAACTTTTAAAGTAACAAATATTTATTCATATTAATAAATGACATTGGTTTCTCATATGTTTATACTTATATTATTGAATTGTATTCGTAACAATCAATTGTAACAATGACATAATTGGTTTAGCTAAGTATATTGCGTTATTTTCAGAAAAAAAACTTAAAATAACGTACAAAAATATTGTTCTGAATTTTACATACAATTAGCACAACTTTTATTATATTCTTGTTTATAATGTTTTTT